GAGCTGAAATTTACTTGACTTTTTGCAAATTAACCATGACGTGGTGTAGCAACAATATAAATGATTAGCTGCAAAAAAATCCTCAAAAAACCTCAAAAGTATCAAAATCTGGAAGAGAAACATATAAACTTATGTAGCATGTAAACTTATAACAGTGATTCATAGGTTTAACTAATAAGTGATAGAGATATAGTATATATTTTTACATTTTCTTTTTAGAAGCGGGACACTGCATATACCCAGATAAACAGACAGAGGATCTGCTGTTTTGACTTGTACAAGGTTACCACGTCCAGCAAAAAAGTGTAAGCCTGTAAATTGCGTGAATGCAGGACTGTGCAAAATTCTTAGGCAATCTGAGAAAATTCTATGTAGATCTATTTATCTGGGCAGTACATGTTTACTTGTTCAACAAAAACACACTAGAATAAATAAAAATCTACAAATTAACAATCCATTGTGATTGTATGTAGTCAGTGTATTAGTTTAGCCATCTCCAAACCTCTCCTAGAGTACATGCAGTGTTTACAGTTACCATGCCAGACGTAGACTGAATCACAAATGGCTCCTTACTCCCTACACAATGCACAGCACAGGACTTTAAATAATAATGCTGCCAAACAGTGCATAAAATGTCTAACAAAGAGCCATCTGAGATTCAATTCACATGGTGCACTATATAAAGAGTAGGGATCCACTTGAAATTCAGTCATAGTTTGTAATCAATCTTTCTTTAAATTAATTCAGGTGTGCTGCTGATGGAATTTAACATATTCATGCCATAGCTGGTGTGCAGTGAGAAGTCACGAATCAAAACTGTGTTCTTTGATCTGTGTTATTTTATTTTCCTTGAACATATTCAGAACTAGCAAAAATACTTTTACGATTAATTTACGAGAAAATATGTTTTTGTTAGTAATTCTTGTTTAAAAAGTTTTTAAAAGTACTTTTATTTTAAAGAAGTCATTATTTCACAGAAGTAACAATACTTTTCTTGAGTATGGGCTACTTCTGGGGTATTTACTACTACAACTAAAACTATTCACTAGCCAGCTAACACTTACTCACATCTCTCTCATTTTGTTTGTGAATAGCCTTATTCTCATTTTCAAGGTGGTTTTAATTATTAATCTACAGAGATCTCTTTTTTGAACTCGAGTTGAAATCGTCAGAATGTGAATCAATGATACAACATCACTCACGAGTCACTCGCTCTCTTTTTTCTCTCCTTGTAGTCTACTGTACCTGCCTGTCTGTCTTTAGGTTCACAGCTATTCAACTGGGATCTATGTACACCAAATGAGTCACCATGTGACCCATGTACGTGATGTCACCAAGACATCCCATGACTCACTGCAAGCTTCCTCAGGGACCTGGATCTTCTTGCTCACTCTGAGTGACCAGGAACCCTGGCAGTCATCCACTACTTACATAAATGAGTTACATTCGTAATGAGCATTTTCTAGCATTATGTTTCGTATTTCCTGACCACAAGGGGTGGTACTTACAGGCTAGATGACTTGTGCCCACGCAGTCACGAGGACTGCATTAGATGCAGCCTGTGGCATGGGACAGGACAGCCGGCATCAGGTCAGATGATACTGCAACCATAATGTTATAGAATTGAGAAAAAGTGAAGGGTGTAGCCCATGTGGCTGGGGCACATATGTTAATAATAGGAACCCCTTTTTAAGACAGCCCAGGACATGGAGCCTCCCCTGATGGAATGGCCAGTAGCTGGTGTGGGCAAAGGATGGTTGACAGCAGCATAAGCCAGTTCAATCACCTCCAAGAGCCAGTGTGAAAGATGCTGCTTTTAGAGCTGAGAGCCCCGTTTAGCTTCCGAAAAGCATAAAAATATCTGATCTGTCTTCCACGCCTTTGCACTAGCAGAGTTGCAGCGCTTCAATGCCCTGACAGAACATAAAAGCTGTCTCCTGGGGTCTGACTGGTCTGTGTTTGCCACCAGGCTGATGGACTGGTTCGGCCTCAATGTCACATTTGCATTGTCTGGACCCCTTGCAGACACAGGGGGCTGACCAATAATGCATGTAGCTCACTTACATGCTTTGCTGTGGCCACAGCAAGCAAAAGCACAGTTTTTAGTGACAGGTGGTGGCTGGGTCAAACGGAGCAGGGAAAGTCTCCATGCCCCTTTTAAGAAGGCCACAATCAGCTTGTGGTATCCCAGAGATGGGCTGTTGCTTGGAGTTTATCCGTTGCTGGGGTTGGTCACACTTACTAGGTGAGCAGCTCTCAACAACAGGAACTGTCGTGTGGTGTGCCAATGTTCATAGGTCCAGGCTCAATGCACAAACATGTCTGCCTTGGAGGTTTGGAAGAAAATACTCTAAAGTGAGTTTCACCACTCGCAACTCAAGATGGTTGACATGTTCCTGGCCAATGTCTTCTGACCACCTGCCGAGTTGAGCCAGAGAGATACCAGCCACATCTGGAAGCATCTTACACAGAGCATCCCCAGTGCAATGACCTGCACTGTAGCCATGAGGAATCCTTAAAGCCACAGCAGTGTTAAGTACTACACTTTTGCTCCCAGTCTCAGGCACCCATGAGTAGCAGAATCACCTGGGCTTGGTCCTTGAGCAGTGAGGCCACCATTGTATGAGAGTTCAGCACCATGCCAATAAACTGGGCGGAGACAGTTTGCTCTTTGCCCAGTTCACAGACAGGCCCAGTGCTAGAGTGTTATTCAACAGTCTCTAAGTATCTTTGAGCACTCACTCCTTGGAAGGTGTACACACCAGCCAATTGTCCAAGAATGGAAGGATTTTTAGCCCTTACTCCATGAGGGGTGACAGGGCAGCCTGTATGCACTTCGTAAATGTCCTTGGAGCTAACAACAGCCCAAAGGGCAAATATTTTAACTGGAACATTTTGCCCTGGAGCACAAACCGGAGAAAACGCCTGTGCTCTGGCGCTATGAGAATGTGGAAGTGCGCATATCGTAAGTCCACTGAAATAAACCACTGTCCTTTGTGAACACTGTGAAGAACAGCAGCAGTGTGAAGCATGCAAAAGGGTAAAACCTTTAGAAACAAATTCAAACACCAGAGGTCCCGAATTGGCAGAAAACCTCTGTCTTTCTTAGGAGCAACCTGATGAGTCGACAACAGCTTAACAAAGAAGATATCCATGGGGGCCACACACATGCAGAACTTACTAGTTTTTGGGGGCTTCAGTATCCAGCGCATCGAGTGGAGCTTAGCCAGTGCAATCTTCAGTGGGTTTTGAACCTAGATGCAGTCGCTGTTGCCGTGGGCGGAGCGCTGACCTCAGAATTCTATGAGGCCAAGGTGGAAAGAGGCTCTGGGGGACTGGAGTGCTAAGCACCCAGCTCCATGGCCGAGAAAAATGTGGCGCTGGCAGTACGGCTGTGCTCCTGGCTTCTAGACCTGCTAACCTGTCTTGGTGGTGAGCTACGGGGATGATTGCACAGTTTATCAGTTTATGCAGGGGTTAACCAGCACTTCACAGAGGTGGTCTAACACAGGGCATGAAGGGCATAAGTTGTGGCCATCGTAAGGGTCCAGTATGGTGGGGAATACATGCTGTCTGGCCAGTACAAACTCCCAGCACCGTATTAGCTGTAGCATGCTAACTCATTGTAGTGCTAGAACTTACAATTCCAGTGTGGGAGCCTGAGATACTTACCCGATGGCCCCGCTAGTCTATTGGCTAAGCTGCTTCCCCAACACTGAGCTCACTCAAGGTGAGGGGAGACCTATAATCCACAGTAGTCTGAGCCTACACCAAGATGCTCTGGTGTGGTCAAATGATGAGTCGTTGGCAACAGAAGATGAAAAGATTTTCGAAGCTCTGACACTATGAAACAGTGTTACCTGCCTGCACGGTCAGTCTGATAGTGAGAAGAGTTACTTTCCTTGTAAGAAAACTAATTTTAGAAAACTTTGCAATAGATACAACCCCAAATGAGATGCTCAATGGGTTTATCTTAGTGGGAATAATATAGAATTATATATAAATAAAAAGAAGGTGGAGAACAAGGTGTGTCAGTTGGGCCTGATTATAATAAAGATTTTAGTTTGACACCATCAGAGGCTGCACCAAAAACTTTACCAAATTCTTTTGAGGTAACTGGAAAAGAGTAATTCTTCATAAATCTTGCATGAGAAAACAAAATTACATTATGGTTAATGTTATTTTTCCCCACTCACTGGTGCGTGGTGATATAAAAGTAATATGTTTTAAAGGAAGATAGAAAAGCAATTTTGTCTTTTAAATTGCTATACATTGATTAATGCAATTGAGGAATGAACTAAAGGTAAAAAAATGTCAGGTTGATTTCAGGTTATTTAAGCAGTCATTCTAGAGTATCTATAATTCCCATTCTGATGTTTCTTTTTGTGGGAATTGATCTTTATATGAAAATATAGACTCTTTTCTTACAGCAGTAAACTGAATATCTATATTTTTATGAAATTCAATGTGTACTTGAAACTGAAGAAGTGAAGAAATGAGTGTAGCAAATAAATTTGCAGGATAGGAACACATGCATATATACACACAGCCATGTGAGACTGAATGCTCTGTAATGTTAGATTATATTGTGTTATTTCACTCAAACAGTCAAAATGAAAGTTTATATACAACTCTTTTTCCAAAAAAAAAACAAAAAAACTATATTCAATTTAAAATAGTACAGACAACATATCAAATGTTGAAACTTAAAAAAAAATGTTTTTGGAAAATATACAAGTTTCACAGTGTCCCAACTTGTTTGGAAAGTTTCCTTAATATTAACGCTTTCAATATACTCTTAATGTTTTCATTGTAAAAATACAAAAAAATAGCATTCGTAGTTCTGCAGAGCACAGAACAGAGCTGGTACTGGTCACTCTCACTCTGAACTCAAGCTGAAATTAAAAAAAAAATGATGGGAACAAATAATGGGGCCTATTCTTGCGGAACGTTGACTACGTTCGCTGTTTCTGCACGGTATCTCTTTGCTGTAGCGCTGTTTTGACTGTAGCATGAGTGTCATGCTTGCTAACGTTAGCGCTGCTGCGCTGAGTGTCTGTACAGTCTAAATAAACCAGTCTGAATCAAACACACACACATGGAGCTGAAGTGGTAAGTCATGTTTAGATCTTATTGCATCTAATGACGATAATAATTTTTATCTCGTTGAAGTGACAGAGTGGACGGGTTTTCTAAAAGCTAGACAGTTTAATAATAACTTTCTTCAGTATTTTAAATGGTAATATATTTACCACTGTTTAAGTATATCTGTGAGGTAATTACTTTTTTAAACTAAATTAACTGTAGTTGTTTATATTTAGGTACCAATTCCTACATTTTCTGTTTAATTTAATTTTGTTCTGTTGGTTCTTCTCCTGGACGGCTTTACTGTTGCTCGCACCTCTCTATTTGTACATTTAGGATTTTATTTAGACCAACACTACAGCTAAAAGAGAACAGAGCCTAACAAACTTCAGTTCCTGTGCTGATAGATTATGGATGAACTCCATTGCAGGTCTGTAAGTTACTTTGTACTTAAGTAGTTTTTTTGACCTGGTACTTCTGTAGCTTCATCTCCTTTGTTTGGAAAGGTACATTTACTTTTACTTTTTTTCTCCAAAGCTACAAAACTGAGACCAATACTTTTTACTTATAAAAGCAGCTTCTGATGTACTTTTATGTAGGAGAGAGCAGTGTGTCATGATTTATGAGGTGAATCTATCATCAGTATGCTAAACCAGAATACATTTTTGACCACTAAGTGATTTTGTGATTTTGCTTTCCAAATATTTAAAAATTCAAAATATGTTTTATTACTGAACTTAATTTGCAAATATGAATTCAGCACAAAATTACCACTGGAGAACAGTGAATGTTTTAAAACTTAAATTCTTTTTCAGTTAGATGTTTTTGTTTAGAAACAATAATATAATATACCACTATATAAGCTATCTGGATAATCTTTGCCTCTCTGAAAGGACTCTGCCAGTGACCTGGGTCTAGGTCTGTCTGAGGGAGTTCCCTCCTCCTCTCTTTGTTTCTTTTGTAGCTTGGGGTTCTCTTTTTTGGTTTTTCTTGTTTGTATTAATTGGTGGTGTTGCCACAGTAACGAATTGCCTCCTTATACACATCACAGTTTGCAAGATTTTAATTTACATCTATAAAATATCTCCACACGACACTTCTCTTTCTTTCTGCTACGCTCTCAATCACTGCAGCCTATAAGTGTCGGCTCTCAGTGCTGCTGAGTCACGTGACAGCACGACAACAAAACAGCAGAGCAGGGGAGGAGGAGGAGCAAAGTGTGTATGCAAGATGTGAAAGGAGCGGTGTTTGCACAGACATGTCTACTTTTTGATGAAACGACATATTGAACATAGAGGAGAGAAATATCGATTCTATCACGCTAGTATCGATCCGATACCAATACCGTATCGATACTATCGATATTTGGATCGATCCACCCAGCCCTAGTTTAGGATATTTTACGCACTTCTGGCTGTTCTAAAATAAAAGGACAATTTATGCATTTCCAGACTGATAACCTGTGTCTTGCCCAGGAAGGTGTCTAATCCTCCTCTCTCTTTAGGGATGAGGTTCCTGCAAGCAGCCCTGTCCCGTTTTCCAAGGACACCTTTGACAAATTCTCTCTGGCGCCCACAATAAAAGAGCTATGGTCTCTTTTACAGAGGTATGTTGAGGGCCCTGCTACAGTTTACTGTATGTAGGTGGTTTTATTTTACAGCAGTGAAACAGGGGCAACTTTATTCCTGGGGAAAAATACCCTTCATCAAGTTATATATTTATGGCCTTATTTCCATTTTACTATGCGTTGTTGTTCATTTCTCATTAATTGTGATGTTCATTATTAAATTATTTTATTTGCATTACTTTTAATGATGCATTAAACATCATGAAATACTTTACCTTTATAGTCCTGATGTAAAAGTTGAAGTGAAAGAAGAAAGTAAGGTCAGACCAGCTGGTTCCTCCTCAAAACCATCCAAAAACAGTACAGTCACACCACAGAACAGCAGCAGAAACAGCCATGGCTCTGCTGGCTCCACTTCAGACTGCAGTGACACTCCTACTGATTATAAGAATAATCTGACTGAGACGAAGGAAAATGAAGGATTCCCCAATCCAAAAGTGCCCTATCCTTGCTACTCAGCCATCAACCACAAAGAGCGACTGGCTTACCTACGGTTACTAAAGAATAAAAACTACCACACAGCTCCACAAGTAAGATGTGACTTATTTGTTCAACCATATCATTTTCTTTGAAATTTGCCTTAGACAATACTCAAATATTTAGCGTAAAAATGTTAATCTTTTTTTCCTTTATTCTCTTTTATTATTATTCATAATCTATTAAAGAAAGTGATGAACGAGATTGCAGAGTTTATGAAGTATCTGCAGGATGTCTCCAAAGTATGTGCTGATGACTACAAGTACATGCCCCTGGGAACCCCTCGCTACTTAGAGGTATATTCTGCGGAAAGTTATAGATTACCCACTTCTCTGAGCCTTGTAGAAATTAGTCCGCCCTGCTCTTTTATTTGCATGCTATGATGATTTAAAAAAAAAACAAAAAAAAACATTTTGAACAAACAATTTTAATGACGTATTTCCACCTCTGATTAACAGGAATATTTTAAAGCCTGCTTGGACTATATGATGAACTATCCACAGATTTACTGCATCCAAGAAATCACCAGCCTGACTGGGGGAAAGTATGTGTCTGACATTTCCCTCAACTTTGAGAAACAGCTGCTTGCAATGGTAAATTACCCTAAAAATGTTATGAAAAATGTGCAGCCATGTAACGACTTAGGCTTGACTCTTATTTGATTTTTGTCCTTTCTATTTAGGGCAACATAGAGATTGTGGAAAAAAAGATGCTGCCAGAAGAAACTAAACTGTCTGTGGATTATGACTCTGTTTCAGCTATGATTTCTCCATATAAAAAGGCCAGTCAGTTTCACAGAGTAAGTGTTTTTCTCTGTGATATGTCTTTAATTATGATGTGCAGTTTTTGAATGACCTTAATCAGTTTTGGGAAAACGGCCACTAGAGGGTGCTGTTGACCCTGTTTTGTGGTAAGCGGTTAGACTGTCATGTGGAACTCTGTTTTTAATTTACAGGCTATCAGCAGTGACACAAATGCAGAGAAGCTCAGTGCTATATATGAGCCTCATGTGTGTCTAGCAAAGGAAGCCTTCCTCCAGCTCCTGAACAACAGTGCTGGGTATACAGAAGCATGGGAGCTACCAGTCTGGGTGAAAGAAAACCCTGGAAAATGTGAGTTTGCCTGTCTTCCCTAACGAGCTCCTGACAGTATACATCCTTCTGAATCAGCTTATTCTACTCATGCTGTTATTACTATGAGGGAAACCAGGCAGTTTTAAACTACACACCACTGTGGACACTAATGGTGGGACAAATAATCAGTTCTTAAGATTCATTCCAATTCTCTCTCAAAAGATTCTGCATTGACTGCATTGGACTTGCATTGACTGACCAACATTCCTGGTGAAAAAATATGCACTATAGACTGTGTTGCATACAAACTCAATTTCAAAAAAGTTGGGACGGTAGGAAACATGCAAATAAAAACAGAAAGCAGTCATTTATAAATCTACTTTGACCTGTATTTGAACAAAAAGAGACACAAAAATACAAAGCCGAAATATGTAAGGTTTTACCTTACCAACTTCATTAGTTTTTGTAAATATACACTAATTCTGAAATTGACGCCTGCAGCACGTTCCAGAAAAGTTGCACAGGTTAAGACTAGGAATATTTTGAAATGTTCAGAAAATGATCATAAACGGTGATGCAAACATGGATGGGTTTGAAAAAAGCATCCAGCAAAGGCCTAGCCCATTATGAACATGCAGGGACTGAGACTCGCTGCTTTGTCCTTGGACACCTGCATCCACAAGTGAAGACTGTACTATGCACGATGGAAGCGATATGTCAAGAGCTTCCAGAAATGCGGCCAGCCTCTCTGGGCTTGAGCTCACCGGAAACGTGCTGACGCACAGTGGAAACGTGTGTCAACACTTTCTGATTTTTTAATGGAAATAATGGACATTGTGTTCTCTAGGCCAACGAAGAAAACAACTCTCCACATTATTACCAGTATTTAAAAGAGTTAAAAAGAAAGAATTAAAAGGCGTCATCGTATGGGGGTGTATTAGTGGGTAACCTGCACATCTGAACCCCTTTTTGGAGCAGCATATGCTGCCTTTTAGACTTAAGTATTTTTAGTGACACCCATGCTTATTTCAGCATGACAACACCAAGCCACATTTTGCATGTGTTACAACAGCTTGGCTGTGTAATTAAAGAGTGAGAGTGCTAGACTGGCCTGCTTGCAGTCCAGAACTGTCTCCCATTGAAAATATGTATCTTATTAAGCACAGAATACAAAAATGAAGGCCCCATGCGGTTGCACAGTTGAAAACTTTTACATCCAAATCAGTTGGTGTCTTCAGTCCCCAAATTTTTATGTAATGTTTGTGTTGTTAAAAGGAAAGATGATGTAATACAGGGATAAACATGCTCCTGTACAAACTTTTTTTTGGACGTGTTGTAAACATCAAGTTAGGAACAAGTGTATATTTACAAAAACAGTGAAATGTTTCTTTTTGTAAATATTGTGCTTTAGTACCTTGAATTAATTTACTCTGTCTTTTCTCTCTCTCTCTCTCTCTCTCTCTCTCTCTCTCTATATATATATATATATATATATATATATATATATATATATATATATATATATAGCTGGGCGATACGGCCAAAAATGTTATCACAATAAACAAAATTCATATTGTTCGATATCGATACATACCGCGATAAATGTCAAATCATTATTTCTTTCAAGTTTGAAGGCTGATTTTTGCTCCTGGGTGGTTAACTGCTGTTTTAAACTATCCTTTATGGTCGGAACACAACAAACACTCACCAAACAGTGGAACATTTCACAGATCTGTCATGGGAGAGTGGGAGAAAGTGTCTGGTGAGCTGTTTTTATCAGCTGGAAAAGCATGGCTATTTTGTAAAAGTCATAATTTAAGAAAGAAAACAGATTATTTTTAGCTGGTGTCGAGCGCTCGGCTAACGTTACCCCGTTACAAATGACATCACAGTATTCAGACACCAGAAGCGACGACTGGATTTCTCTATACTATCGTAGTAGTTTAAGTGGTGAACCGCAAAATATCAACACCAGACAGAGTCCTCTTTTCAGGTACGTTTAAACTGAAAGCGGTGTTTTTGTGTCTTGTTTGATCTACAGTATCATCAATTCTCCGTGTTGTGCGAGTGACGAAGCGCTGCTTCAAGTTAGCCAGCTGCTAAAAACAGCTAGCCTGGAAAGATAGCGCTCTCCCGCTCTCCAATGCCTCACAGCTTCCTCAGATTACTTTCGTTTAAATCAGGGCTGTAATTTACATGAACTCACTTTTGTCTTTCACTTTCGTTGCTTGGGAATGCACTAATACTTAAATATGACTGTCCGAGCGCTGTAACAGCGCTGTAGTTGTGAGGAGTGTGATTGTGATTTAACGCTGCTAAAGCTGGTTAGGATGTACGGAAAGAGGTGAGTTCGCTGTAGGACAGTACAGTTACACCACTGACCTCGTCACTCACACTCGGTCACAGGAGAACAGATCGCCTGTCGCTCCGCTCAAACGGGGAATGTATAACTCCGTGTTTCAGCCGTTGCTAAAGACTCATCTTACTCGTGGCCCCCTCCCTCTCTAATCATGTAGAAAAACTCGGAAGTGCGCCCTCTACTGGCGACAGCACAGTAATGTCGCTTTCCTTGTAGTAGAAAACGCCACCAAGTCTTTCGCTGAACGTGGGAGTGTGAGAGTGGTGTATTATATCGAACATTTATCGAACATGTCGTATCGCTCTATCGAGGAAAAGTTATATCACGATAATTATCGTTATCGTTTTATCGCCCAGCCCTATATATATATATATATATATATATATATATATATATATATATATATATACATATAGTAATACTATTCATATACATAAAATGTAAATAAATGTAAATAAAACAATGCAATTATTTGCAAATCTCATATACCCATATTTTATGAACATTAAACATCTTAACATAGAACACATATCAGATGTTAAAAGTGAGTCATTTTACCATTTCATGAAATGCATTAACTCATTTGAACTTGATGACAGCAACGCATCTCAAAAAGTTGGGACAGGAGCAACAAAAGGCTGGAAAGTAAGTGGTACTAATAAAAAACAGCGGGAGGAGCAATTTGCAACTAACTCACATGACTGGGTATAAAAAGAGCATTTTAGAGAGGCAGAGTCTCTCAGAAGCAAAGATGGGCAGAGGTTCACCAATCTGCAAAAACTGCTTTTAAAAATTGTGGAACAATTTCAGAAAAATATTCCTCTACGTAAAATTGCGAAGACTTTGGATATCCCACCATCTATAGTACATAATATCATCAAAAGATTAGAAGAATCTGGAGAAATCTCTGTATGCAAAGGACAAGGCCAACGGTCAATATTGGATGCTCGTGATCTTCGGGCCCTCAGGCAGCACTGCACTGAAAATGGGTATGATTCTGTACTGGAAATCACAGCTTGGGCTCAGGAACACTTTCAGAAATCATTGTCTGTGAACACAGTTTGCTGTGCAATCCACAAATGCACGTTAAAGCTGCATTATGCAAAGAAAAAGCCATATGTCAACACAATCCAGAAACACTGACATCTTCTCTGGGTCAAAGCTCATTTAAAATGGACCGAGGCAAAATGGAAAGCTGTCCTGTGGTCAGATGAATCAAAATTTGAATTTATTTTTGGAAACCACGGATGCCGTTTCCTGTGGATTCAGGAGGAGAGGGACCATCCAGCTTGTTATCAGCACATGGTTCAAAAGCCATGCATCTCTGATGGTATGGGTTTGCATTAGTGCTTATGGCATGGGCAGCTTACACATCTGGAAAGGCTCCATCACTGAATGCTACTATGGTGAACAGTATATAGAGGTTTTAGAACAGCATATGCTCCCATCCAGGCACGTCTCTTTCAGGGAAGGCCTTGCATATTTCAGCAAGACAATGCTAAACCACATACTGCATCCATCACAACAGCATGGCTACGCAGAAGAAGAGTCCAGGTGCTGAACTGGCCCACCTGCAGTCCAGACCTTTCACCAATAGAAAACATTTGACGCATCATGAAACAAAAACTCCGGCAAAGAAGACCCAGGACTGTTGAACAGCTAGAATCCTACATCAGACAAAAATGAGACAATATTTCTCTCTCATAAAACTCCAGCAATTGGTCTCCTCACATCCCAGATGTTCACAGACTGTTGTTAAAAGAAGAGGGGATGCTACACAATGGTAAACATGGCCCTGTCCCGACTTTTTTGAGATGCAAAATCAAATGCAATTGTGAAAATCCTAGAGATTCCCAACCCTACTGGATACCTGCTCATCTTAACAAATGAACAAATATGTGAATGTTCAAACAGGTGCCTTGATTTGCAGCTAGTTGTTTAGAAACATGATTACAGGATGATTTGCCATATGGTTATTATTGTACAGGTAGCAGTCAGAGTAAAACGGTGTACATCGACCCTCCTCTGCTGAAGACGCAGATAACCTGGAGAGAGAGAAATCATCTCATTCATGAGGAGAGTGTAAAACTAGCATACAAGAAGACAGGCTCAAATCCTGTGTTTTTTCTCCTAACAGAGGACTATTCCAATAAAACAGACTTTGCCCCAGAGGTAAGTCTAAGTACATTATTTGTAGTTTTCCCAGTCATGCTTATTCATGACAGATTTGGGGGAAATACACAGAATATCCACAATGAGTTTTGGATGATATTTATATTTTATCTTCTGTTTTTTGTTTTGATTCTTAGGGAAAAAAATCCAGGGCAGTTGTTTCATTTGATGACACCAGCATAGACTTTGAAGTGGATGTAACTGAACTGGAGTCATTTGGGGAGTCCTACCAACTCAGTAAAAAAGTAAAAGGCCATGATGAATCTAAAGCCCTTTCTAAAAATCAAACATTAGGATTATCAAAACCTAAATTAGGCTCAGATAAACATGTTCTGGCTGGAGCTTCCACACCTGAAGACATTTCTATGTCATCCCATGCATTACCAAAGGAAGAATTGAAAGAAGAAGCAGTCAAGACGGATGTAAGGGACAGCTCAACAGACAAGAGTACTGAGGATATTTTGAACACTGTATCTGAAGACCCCATGAATAATAGTTCCTCTGTAGAAGAGTGCTCCAGTTCTGAATGTCCTCCAACAAAGCGGATAAGGCACAACTCTGTGTACAGTTCAGACCACAGTATGGATTCTGATGAGGAACGCCTTGTTATTGATCACCCAGGGTCCCCACCGTACCGTGTAGCTGAAAAGACCCAGATGGCTCCACCTGCTCCAGGGAGCATCACTGATGGCAACAATGAAAAGACTTCAGATCCCACCACGCCCTTGAGTCCTACTGCCTCCGCCAAAAGAGCTAAGAAAGGAACGAAAAGGTCCAGAGTCTCTGGGGACTGTGACCAACTAGGGCACATTTTGCGAATGCAGAATGCCATGCTGAAATCCACCATGAGCAAGGGCCAAGAGCCTTCAAAAGCACAAACCTCGGAGTGTAGACCCTCAGAGCCCAAATTAAACAGCCACCCTCACTCTTTGGTCAAGCCCTGTGTGTCCTCCTACCTGGACTCTGGAGAAGGCCTGGATGAAGAGGCTGCAACTCCTACCATCTGTCAACCCACAGTGCAAAAGAAACGTTAGTACTCAGTGCTTTTTTATTTTATTTTTTTTGAGAGGAAAGTAATATTTGGACAGGGTTAATTTTAGGGACATACAGTAATGCACACAACTCTTAGGTACGTATGTTATCACGTCAGTAACTGTGTTTTTAATTGTAAAAACAATATGTACTAATATATTATATAGAATAGTTCTAGATTTCCTTTTGATGCCTTGAACCAACACATAGATTTAATAAATTCCATTAGCAGCACATCTGATTTTAACTTAGCAAAGGATTGACTGGATAATGTAAATGTCCAGTTTGCACAGGATAAGAGATCTGTGCCTTGAAGTATTACACATTGTCATCACACACAAAAAAAATGACTAAATAATTACCAACATGCCAATTTGAATGGAATTGAATTTATTTCTGCAGTTTATTTTATAGAATTCCAGAGGCTTTGCAGATGCTTCAATACACACAACACAACAAGTTACTGACATGATAAATTCAGATGGGACTGCAGAGATTGCAGAGATACTTAGGTAAAAATTGCAATACTGCACCCACTCATGTCAAAAGAGTCCCATCTGAATAGTGTTTAACACAGAATAAGCCTTTATTTTTCTCTGCTGGTAATATGTTGATAAGGACCTGCCATCTTCCTGAAAAGCCACTCTGGTGCTGTACAGCAGTGAAGAACTTCAAGTTAACAAATACTTTCTTTTAGAACTCTTGCTTTAAATTCTGTTTGAGCTGCATGCTCTGAGAGCTGGTGTTGAAGGGAGTTGTGTTTGTGGCTGTGGCAGGGCTGCTGAGAGAGGAGCTGCTGGTGAGCGCAGAGGATGAGAAAGACTACGAGGCTCCAGAGGAAGCCAGTGTGCTCTATAAGCTCTACAGCCTGCTAGACGTGCTGCTGATGGTGCGCAGCACCGTAGACATCGCCCACCCTAGACATGATCCAGGCACCTTCAGGGTGAGTGGTACCAGTGGATCTCCTTTGATGTAGTTTTTAAGTGATGGTCAAAAATGTAATTTTATCTCAATCAGACAAGACATTTTTGGTGTTTGCAGTACATAGACACCAGGTTAGTGCTGTGCAAACTGCATGCCTAAATCATCACACATTATATGACACAGGAGAAAGCGGGGCGCAACCTAACACAGTTGTGTGTATAATCAACTTCACGGTGGCTGTAATGTAGCACCATTTTGAAGTATTTAAACAACATACAGCAAGAGCTAGTGAGGCTGAATGTGATGGGGTTATTACAACTAATAACCACTAATTAACTTACATAACATTAACATTAAATTAACTTACTAACAACTAATTAACTTTAATTTTATGCACATATTGATCAAAATGCACTACAGATGTCATGAAAATAAAATACATTTTAGTTTTTAGTTTACTTTGTGGTCAGAAAAAAATGTACCACTGCTGGATGCTTTTAATGAATCTTGTGTTTTTTTTTGTTTTTTTTTTCTTTTTTTTTTTTCTTTTTTCACAAATCCTATTTATTTTGATAATTATATTTGTATGTATGGGAAAGCTTGTCTGGTTGAAACAACACAGACACAAGCTGAATTAATTGTGTTTTGCATCGATCTCCTAGGCCTCCTAGCGACTGTTACAATTAGTCCCTCCGTCTCTTACAGTTAACCCTGCCTGTGGGGTAAGTTGTAACATTAGATCTCATGCCACTTTTGCCTGAATTGTTCACAAATGGTAGCTTTCTGGCATAAAATATTAATTTTGCTCAAACACTTTTAAAACAACTTGCCAAAAAAAGAAATTTGTTAGGTTGTGCCCAGCATATACAAAAGTGTGTAGCTAAAAAACAAAAAAAGAGTAGCAAATAACTAAAAATATAAGTTGCAGCTGTGACGCCTGATTTTTTAAAATTTTTAAATTTTTTATTTTTTTTTTTAAACTGTACTTTTGTCCACTCTTAACAGAGAGTACATAAGCAAGTCTGTTTGAAGTTACTTAATGTGAAAGCATGTGATGAATTAAGCATGCAGTTTACATGATGCTGTTTGGTGGAGTATATGTTTGAATTGCTGGGACACTTAACATGTCTTCACTGATGGAATACATTTGGTGCTGGTGGACAACACTGTGTAAATTTGATTTTTGCTTGAACTGTAGGTCAGCATGGATTATCCTCCACTCCCTCTCTGTAAATATGCTCCTACTTTCCTGTGCAGCTTTATCCTAGATCCTGCTATTAGGTCATATCAGAATATTTGCAGACTGTTGTGATTCCAGTCACTAGGTCACACACATTCACCACCTTGCCAGGTATTTATGATAGAAACAATTGATAATATTATATGACAGTCCAGTGCAATATAATAAAGCATGTAATCTAGTGTAATATTATAGCTCATTAACTAGTTGAGTGTAATTTTTAGCTTATTGATCGAGCTGTTTCTGATAAGTGTGCTGTGTTAAAGCAGGTTGCATTATCACTTCTCTGTGTGTGGAATAACAGTATGTGTTGGGTTGTGTTGGTGCAGGCTGTGCCAGTGCACGTGCTGCCTAAGATGGAGTACCAGCTGTGTTACGGAGCCGAGAGCCTTACCCACACTGAGGCATGCCTTCTCTGGGCTGAGCAGCTCCTCCACTCCAGCACGGCCTCTTTCATAGGTATGTCAGTTTACACACTACTGCCAAGCTGCATGAGATTGGTGCTAAATGAACGTGCTAATTTGATTTTTTTTCATGTCAAGAAATCATATGTGTATATATTGTTCTCCATATTTTAAAGCACATTTTGCTTAACCAAAAAAAAAAAACGGATTTTCCCATCTTAACTATTTTTGTATTGTTGTGCAAAATAACAGTGAGAATAACAGTCCCATTACAATGAAAACTTACTAAAGCAGTACGTAAAGACAGATAAATTATTACATTTTACTTACAAAAAAAAAAAAGCGGTATTTTTATATATGAACTGTTAATGTGGAAGCAGATATAAGCTCGCCAATCACTTTTTTTAGGAACACCTGTACATCTGCTTATTCATGCAATTATCTAATCAGCCAATTGTGTGGCCGCAGTGCATAAAATCATGCAGGTGCAGGCTAGCTGCGTCAGGTAATGTTCACAACAGCCATCAGAATGAGGAAAAGTCTCCTGAGTTTGACTGTGGCATGATTGTTGGCACCAGACAGGCTGTTTTGAGTGTTTCTGTAACTGCTGGTTATACAGTGCAATAAAGAAAAAACATCCAGTAAGTGTCAGTTCCGCAGACAGAAATGCCTTGTTGATGAGAGAGGTCAAAGGAGAATGGGCAGAGTGAGCTGACAGAAAGGCTACAGTAACTCAGATAACCACTCTGTACAACTGCAGTGAACAGAAAAGCATCTCAGAATGCACAACATGCCAAGCCTTGAGGCAGATGGGCTATAACAGCAGAAGACGACGGGCTCACCAAAACTGGACAGCTGAAGACTGAAAAAAATGTAGCCAGGTCTAATGAATCTTGATTTATGCTGAGGCACACAGATGATAGGGTCAGAATTTGGTGCCAACAGCATGAATTCATGAACCCAACTTGCTTTGTGTCAGCAGTACAGGATTGTGGAGGTGGTGTAATGGTGTGGGGAATGTTTTCTTGGCATATGATTTGGACTAGTTAATACCAATCAGTCATTGCTCTAATGCCACAGCCTATGTGAGTATTGCTGCTGAGCATGTGCATCCCTTCATGGCCACATGGTATCTTCTGTTGGCTACTATCAGCATGATAATGCTCCATGTCACAAAGCAAAAGTCATCTCAAACTGGTTTCATGAACATGACAATGAGTTCAGTGTTCTTTAGTGGCCTTCCCAGTCATTGTATCTGAATCCAATTTGGGATACATGGGATGGGTAGATACATACCTTTGGGATGTGGAAGAGCAAGAGTTTCCCAGCATGAAAGTGCACCTAAAAATCCAGAGGAATGGCATGATACAATCACGTCAATATGGACTAGAATCTCAAAGGAATATTTCCAACATCTTGTGGAATCTATGCCATGAAGGATTGAGGCTGTTTTGAGAGCAAAGGGAGAGTCTACCCAGTGTTAATATGGTGTTCCTAAGTGCTTGGTGATTGTACATCTGAGCATGTACATCTTTTATATAGTGATGTTTGAGATGCATTCCTACTTTTTCACTTGCAATAAAAAAACATACTATGTAAATGATAACTTTTAAATGCATGCATATATATATATATATATATATATATATATATATATATATATATATGCTTGAAAAAGACTTATTAGCAGATTTTGGTCTAATACAAGTCATCAAATGTTGTGGACTGGCACTCTTTTCATGGAATGAACTTTATACATATTTATAATCAGACAGTGAGATAACAGGTAGTAGTCTTTGTATTGTTATGATTCATAAGTAGAACTTAATGACAGTCTGGAACTTTGTCTGGTAAGATAAGCATTGTGTCACCATTCAAGTAAACACAGATTCATCATCCAGTGTCTGTAGTTTTTCCGTGGCAACTGCTCAGTACTGTTTCTTCATTCCTGCTAGCACTGCGGCATGCAGAATTAAGAAGAGGCATTGTACAAGTTCAGATAAAGTTTGCTTAGAGCAGCTCTAGTAAGTCCTGAGTAGTCTTCTCTATGATTCAGAACAAAGCAGAGGTGGAGTCACTGTTTAGAGGAAGCTACTCCTCCCTCTTCTTCCACAGGCGTCTCACATGACTCACATAGTCTGTATGTGTTTGGAGCTTCTGTTGCCATAGCTACCATCATTTTAAAGTTAGTCCCAGTGGCAAACGTAAGGGGGGAGAAAACCCACTCTCTTGCTTTGTAAGCACACTCTCTGCTGCAACAACTGGCAAGGTTTTTTAAGGCAGCTTAATGGTGTTCAGATAGTCGTTTGCTTCAGACACTACTTGTAAATAAGTATCTGTTTTTATTTTTACATGGGTCATTCTCACAAAACGGCCTGAAACTATGTCCATAAATGTTTGAGTGTCATAATCATCATTTTTCTATTTTAAAGTGTTTTTGGAATTTGTTACTCTAATTCTCATTCCTGCAGTGTCATCATGTCTGTTTCTCATGACTGATATTTATCATTATTTTGCTTTTTTAATTAGGAAAAAAAGACTTTGTATTACTTGTATCTATCTGAGTCTCCTAATTTTAGTGTTTTCCGTGTAAGTTCTCAAGAAGTGAACCAGAGGAATAAGTCAAATGAAAGGGCTGTCAATGAGTTGTGGTAATGAGATAAAATAACAAAATTTGACATTTTGTATAAGATATATGTTTTAATAGTTAGCTTTAATATGCTTAGTCATGCTGCTATTAAATATGAGAAAAAAAAATCAAAATTTTCTGTTATGCTATGGAGAATATGATCACTTAAATTGGACAGTGTTAAGAAATATAAAAAAAAATGAATGGTTAATTATTCAGGTTTATTTTTAATTATTCCACCAGGCATCATTGTTTGTATTTTTTAAAAAAGAAACATTTTAGTTTCATGTTTTAACAAGTTGGATCCTGATATTTATGTTTGTGAGAGCAACCTATATATGTATTTGGCAAATAAAAAGACCTAGTCACACATTTTTTTTTAAATCTTTTATAATGATAGTTGATACCCCTAAAAATGAACGCAAACAGACAACAGCCGACTCTGAATGTTTATCAGTATTTTCAGGGTCCTCCTCTAGCCTTGATAAAGCCTCTTTGTCTCATTTTTCACAGCTGATTGGCTTTTTGTCTGCACTCCATACTGACTTGCTCTTTCTGAAATGCTGTCCTCTCCAGTTATGGTCTTACTCCTCCTCCTAGGAATTGTAATGCCCTTCAGCAAACTGCTCTCTCTGTTTCTTCAGAATCTGACCTAATGGCTGCACCTTCCCACCACATTTTTAAGCACATGTGCATTCACCGGGCATGATGAGGTTCATTGAGTCGGGGGTGTTGAATCAGTGGCAGGTGTGGCTCCAGGTTTTCATTCCAGTGAAACGGGAGCAGTCAGTTCTTGAGTTTCAAGTGTGCTTTTGCTTTGTTTGAGTACAAACCTGTAGCCGCACTGGCCTTTTGGTAAGGTAAGATTGGACACCCTGGATTTTAAGCATACATCACATCTTCCTTATGCAACCCATAAAAAGTCCCTTGCAACCACACTTAGTAGAACTGGATGGTATGAATACAACTTAGCATCACAAAATTTTCCAAATATATGACAGTATCAGGTGATATTTGAGTTTGACTAGTGCTTCCTGACTACTGGTACTCTATATTAAAAGATTTTCTTACAAGACAGACAAAGCTTGTGTTGATTAGGCTGTTTGGTTCTGTTCAAATTGAAACCTTACACATTGTTGTGAACATTAACCAGACAGAAAACACATTTCCAGGAAAAAAAAGCTTACTAGTTATTTTTATATGTATTTTAAACTGTTATTTCAAAACAATCTAAATTACCTAGCAAACAACATACATTGCAATTAACTGACTTAAATGAGAAAATTTCTACATAATTCAGTGGCTAAGATTTAAAAAAAGTCAGAGTGGATTAATGTGAGATGCTCCATTATAGAGAAACCATATTTGTCAAGGTGGCAATAGGAACCAGACATCTAAAGAATTTAATGTCTCTAAAAGCTCCTTGACAGAAAGTTATTACCAGAAATTATTTACAAATACCAGAGACATTGTATTCTGACAGTTTTGAGAGAAAGCTTTGGCCTAAAGCCTTTTTTTTAAAATCTATTTATGTCCGAGAGGTACGTGCAGGGCATTGTACAGCTAAGAAAACTTATTTTTCAGATTTACCACTATTTTACCATCATCAACATACAAAAACTCAGAAGATGCGTGTCGGTTCACTGGTCATTTTGGATAGTAAAGAAAATGACTATATTTGTGTTGTAGACATTGTGACCCCTGGTTTCTATCATTACCACTGTAAAGAAATCCGAGTCAGTACGTTTTTCCACAGTACAATACAGTTTCACATCAAACCACTCTAAATGACTTCTTGTCATCTGAACAATTGAATTACACAGGAATTTTGAAAAATGTGAAATTTACCTCTTACTCTTGTACATCCATCAGTATAGCTAAAACAAAAACAATCAGTACACTACACTCTACGTTTAGCCACATGTTTCAAACAACTAGATGGAGTGGTCTCAGTTTTGTACACCCCTTCCAAAGTGAATAAACAGGATAAGTGCCTACAAACAGATACAGTTGCGAAGCATCAGTATATGACATGCACTTCTGAGCAATCCATCTCTTAGTTTAAGAATATATTTCAGTGAAGAATCCACATTGATATTTAGTTACAGTTCACTTCATGCTTAGTCTTCAGTTTATAGACTACAGTAGATTAAAATAGTTTAATGTATGTAAAGGTAGGGCGGAGGAACGTATTCAGAGAGTCTGAACAACTATGCAATCTTGAAGGAATGCAAGGGAGGAATGAATCAGATTGCTTCAGCCATTTCCCCCCAGAGAATTCCTTTAGTTAAGGAAAGGAATGCAGTTTTTTTATGGGAAGTATTATTTAATGTGAAGTACCACTTGAATCTTGCTTGTAACTCACTCCCTCATGTATACGTGACTCATCTGCATAAATTATATTAGATAAAAGATGTACTTTAGTCTGTCACCTTTATTGTGCTCAGAGCACACCATTTTTTGTTTTGTTTATGATGTCATTTTATTTTTTGGATTGCTGTTGTTGGTTAGTTAATAACTATATCCAGACAGTCGCTATGCATTTGAACTCCGTAGTAAGTTTTTACAATTGCTAGACTAAGGCTATGGACAGTGGGGAAACACATCTGAGCATTCTCATTAAGGTCACATGTTCACGAATCAGATATGTATCCAACAAGGCCAAATATGAAAGATAAAAGTGGCTCAGATCTGTGTGTCCACACTGCTCTAAAAACATCAGATCTGTGTAACATTAAGGATTGTGCCACTTCAGCCTGATTTTATATATATATATATATATATATATATATATATATATATATATATATATATATATATATATATATATATATATATATAAACAAGAAAACATTGGATTTATTTCATTTATTTGAAATTTAAAAATAAAAGCATTTCAAGCATTTAATAAATATGAAAATATATAAAAATATAGGTATTTATGTAAATTAATAATGAATTCATTGACACAGGCTTTTAAACACCATTTATACATCTCCCAAAATTTGGTAACAGGGTTGCAAATAAATGCTCTACATTAATTAAAAAAAAAAATCAGCTCATAAAATATCTGATTTGACAGCCTTTGGTAGGAATAACATTTTCTGAAGGCTTAGCACTTACTTTGATTAATAAATAAAGTAAATTACAAACAAAGTACACACTCTCAGAAAACAGTTCGAAACTATCACTGGAGCAGTACCTCTCTTGTCACTGGGGTGGTACTCTCAAGGGTACATCTCAGTACCTTTAGTCAGGCAACATAATTGTACCATAATAAATCCATTGAAATTATATTTTCTAAGCTGTATTGCCTCCACACACCCTGTCTCATCTCCAGGCTCTTTATTTCATTGTTCTCTTTTAAAACATTAGGTAATGAAAAGGTACTTTTCACCAGGAAAAACTCTGAGATAAACTATCAGACCCTAAAGCCCTGTTGTACCTTTGAGGGTACATTTACAATGTTTGTACCCTGATGAACCAAAAGTATACCTGCACATCACCTTTATTTCTAACAGTGAAATCTTAAAGCATTTCAAGGCCTGAAATGACCTACTTGCGGAAAGTGCCAGCTACACTTATAGTTAACCAAAAACAGCTGTTTTTTCACAAATTATTACTTTGTTGAACCAGTAAAGATATAGAAATAACATGTGACATTAGCTGATGCGGGTCACTGTGCTGGCCATTCTGTTCTGGTTCTTGTGTCTAAGCCAGAATCTTACCCCTGTGATGGCCTTGTTTTCAATTCACACTGACCAGCTGGTGCATATTTTGGCACGGCTTTATAAGGACTTGTGCCCTGCTCTGTGATTTTGTTTGAATATACTCAGCAGAAAGATCAGCCTGTAGCTTAGCAATGTGCTGACCGTGTAAGGTTCAGTCCTTAGAAATATGGGATATAAATGGAATATATTCTATTTTTTTTAATCTCTGTCATCCTCAGTGTTTTATGCTTCACTCACAGACTAAACACTGGGACAAAGATTATTTTCTGTTGTGTCTCACTCCAAATTATTTTTAAGACTACTTAGAAAGGTATCGAACAGTTTCTACTGATGGTCCACTGAAGTTAAGTAGATTTGGGCATGGCCTATACTTGTATGGGATGTGTTACTGTAAAGCCTAGATTGTTCATAGTTGCTTCTGGGCTAAAACTGCAGCTGTCTTTTGAGTTATAAACTATAATTCTTTTTTGTTCTTTTATTCTCAGTTAATTATAATCTTCCTGATAATCTCTAGCCTAGAAAAGCATTTACCTGGAATATCTGAAGACTATACAAGCCCTCTGGATTCATGCATTCATTCATGCATTCATTCATGCATTCATTCATGCGTTCATTCATGCATTCATTCATGCATTCATTCTGTCTTGCTTTCCTGTGGCTGTTACATAATGAGAAAGCTCCTCACAGTTCTTGTGCTCATGTAGCTTGTAGAGACAGGTCTGTTCTGTATACTGTGTCTTGCCGTGGCTTTCAGAGTCAAGTAGCATGATGTAATATGGAGTTGCCCTGCAGCAGCACGCTGCTTCTTAACTCATGTCGTTTAAAACAGGCTCACAATGAATAGACTCTTGTTAATGCACTAGCTAATGTTTTAAGTTTTGCAGATAGGTTTTGCAAATCACCTTGAAAGAGAGGAAGAGAGGAAGTCAAAATCACTTTCAGTGAAAAGTTCACATACTGTTTGGAAAATCACATGCTAGCCAGAGCTGCATAAAGCCTGGAGGGCACCTGCTAATATCAGTACTCATTATTCTTGCATGTGTGTACCTGTGTGCTTGCGTGTGTGTCTGTGTAGGGCGCATTAATGCACACACATCGAAAGTGGTGCAGCTGCAGGAGCTCTCGGCTGACTGGATCCAGAACACCTCCTGTGATTTCAAGTACGCAGACCCTGTTTCATTGCATATCCTCATGTGGCCCCTGTATTAGCTAAGCTTTATCACAAAAGTGATGAATGCTTATTACGCAAGTTATGGAATGCTCACTGCATACTTTAATGATTTGATGATTGTTTAATGCTATTTTTCACTGATTCAGTGTGAACTTGAGTTAGTGGTTACAGATGATGTTCAGGTTTTACCGAAATGGTTGTTCTTAACTAATTATTTAATTATTTATTTGTTTGTTTGCTTATTTTTTAATGCAGTTGTATCTGCTCTGTTGTTTTACAGGCCAGCTAGGTGCTTGAATACTCTCTATCACATATTGAAAAAAGTCACGGGGTGAGTTCACCTTTTTTTTCCCTTCTTCAGCTTCTTTTTCTGCCAGGGTTAAACTTTAAACAGTACACACTTGGAGATACACTTCTATTTAGTTTCTCCCTCTTTAGCCAGCCCCCTTCAGGCAGCCCCTTCTCATGAGTTATAAAAGCACCACAGTCTGGTTGTGCCAGGGCTTACACATGCCTTCCTCTGAAGTGTGTAGCAAAGGCTACCACTGTGTCTGTGTCCGACTACTGGCTATGCACTGTCGAGCAGCTCAATGAGTGACACTCTCATCTTAGAAGAGGGGTCATCTGTGAATAGTTGGAGCAGATATTTGCTCTTGCTTGACTGTTACCATTCACCCACTGTCATTTGAGCTTGCCTTGTGTCTTGGAAGGAGTGCATGGGTATTTTGTCATCTCTCCTGTTAGAACATGCAGCCAAACAGGGTTTGTGCTGAAATGTGTTTCACAACGAGAATGCTGCTGCCTTTTATTCCAAGTCAGTTGTCGCAGTATCATTTCATAAGTCACCACCTGACAGCATATATTCCTGTTGGAAAGCAAAGCAGTTAATCTAGGTTTATCTCACATTGTTGGAATAAAATCAAAGCTCCCTTTCTGTGTAACTTTCTGCTTCAGCTTACAGGAGGGGAGGTACCTGTTGGGCCACAAACCTGGTGAGGCAGTTGTGACCATCTTCAAAGCCAGTGATGAAAAGAAACCCAGTCGTAGTATCTATGACCTTCAAGTGGTGCACTCTGGTCCCCCAGCGGTCCCTCTGGAGGACAAGGTGCCCTGGGTTCCACTGGACCCATTCCATCTAATGCCTTTCCATCAGAAATACAAAAGACCACCTTGCACCTTCCCCCCACGCCCACCCCCACAGCAAAAGGTATGATGAATGGAATAGCTCTTTCCAGTTCAGAAAGATATACATTTTTAAATTACTAAATCTAATAAATTTTAAATGAAATGGGCATCATTGTTAATTTTTGATTCTTGGCTCATTTGATATGAAGCTGCAACCTGGGCATAGTTATTAAATAAGGTGCAATTTCAAGATTCTTTTTAGATGCAAAGCACTTCCTGAACCTTATATGTAACCCACTAACTCATGTTACTGTTCATTTAAATAGCACCCCTCCAAGTCATAACTGGCTGATATAATACCAAATTTAAAAAAAAATATACATTAATTTATAATTTTTAAAGTTATAATTGAGATTATAATCCTCAGTGGTGAGGAAATTTGCTAAAAATATTGTAGTTGCACACCATCTTGTTATCAGTTTGACCACTACAAAAGCCTCCTGCAAGCATTAATATAACCTGAAAAACAAATGTATTTTACAGTGTTGATCATTCAGTGTGTATATGTAAGTTATTTTTCTTGTCAGCTAATTAATTGAAAGTGAAATTGTAGTCACTGCCCAGATTTAGTGGGCTTGGTAGAACACCAGCAATGGGTGCTATAGACGAAACTCTGTCACACTGTATGTCCTTGTTTATGTTCATAGCCATTCAAGATAATCTATGGAAGATACAGTCTGATAATGTGCTTAGAAGAGGCATATATTTCACAGCCCTGCACACCTAGCCAAGATAAACAGACTTCTCTGAGGGGCTGCCTTTCCCAGCATACTGTTCACTGCCCAACCCTGACAACAGAAGCATGTCCAGATCTGTTATCAGATCTGCCAGGCCACTCATTTCATCCTGTTGCCTGTCATCCTGTTCTCCTCCTCGTTTCTCTGTAACCTCACTTTCTCTTTAGTCACACAGTCTTGGATTCTTATTCAGTAATTTGTTAACATAACAAGCACTGACTGCGGCTGGTGGGGTGGCCGAAGCCCTCTAACAATAATGGTTACAAGTAAGAGTCTCTGAAGAATTCAGACCAATTCTTTACTTCTACAAACCTCTTCCAGCGAGGGCTTTTATTGCTGCAGGCCCTGAGGATAGCAGCCACACCTTCCCGCCATGAAAAACCAATCAGGTCAGAGTCTATCCTTAGGTAGCATTCTATGTAAAGCAGATAATGCAGGTCATATCTGTGACTTCACAGGGACACAATGAAGGTATGAAGTTATCTTATTTTGTCACATTACCTGTCAAGCTTTAGTTTTGAATCAAACCAGCTGACCAAATCTTTCAGCTTTTTCAGATTGTTGAATGATCATCTGATATAGTTGTCTTATGGTGGCTTGAATTAAGAAATGCTCCTAGTTTCTTGGATGAGTATCAGCTGCCTGTTTCTTTCTCTTTATCTCTGTAACTCTCTGTTTCAATAACCGTCTAAGACTCTCTCACACATGCCAACAGGCAGGAAGGGGTAAAGGAGGAAAGCAAGGTAACACTCCAACCAGACCCACACAAGGGGCCCAAAACTCTTCAGCAGTTGCCAGTCAAAGTCAGGAGAAGAAGAAGAAGAGGAAGAGGAGAAGTTTACAGCAAAAACAGAAACTGGCAGCAAAAGCGATGACGTAACAGATGGAGGACACACAAACCAATTAAATAAGCAGTGAGAACTAGAACTTGCTGAATGTGGAGGTAGGACTTGGGAGGGTGTCAGGAAGTGCCTAAGTTAGAGTGGGACAAGTCAGGGAAAGATCTGCTCATGTTAGAGTATGAGAAGCTGTCAGATGCTGAAGAAAAAGTAGTTTCTCGAAAATATACGTAAGTACTGCAAAGAATAAGTCCTTAACAATGTTTTCTCACATGCATTATTGTTTTTTTTTCAGTAAGATAATTTTGAAGTACCTATGTGTTCTAAAAAGCTAAATGTATTTGTTACTTTTTATTTTTATATTTTATGGGAGAAACATTGTAATGGTAATGTTTGTACTTTTTTCTATTTGTAAAATGAAAATTAATAAATTGTTAATATAAACTCTTAGTTTTGCATTTTTAATGTATTTTTATTGTTTTTTCTGATTTTGCTGATTTTTTTTTTTTGCACAGTGTAACTATAAATGCTGAACTTCATTAAGGAAAAAAAGAAACTTGCACTTTAAGGTGAAGACTTGCTAGCAGATATGTCTGACGTGATGCGTTTGAAAATTGTTGTTTTTAAGGTTATTACGTTCCTGATGTTCTCATGTTCTAATGGCAGGTTTGTAACCCCTTATTAAAAGGATACTCCTTTTTTCAGATTTGCACAGTCTCTAAACAAACACTAAGGGTGTCTAGTACATCAGACAGTTTTCTTTATAGTCACAGTATGTCTTGTTGAGCTAATGTGCATTGCTCTTGTCTGTCTAATGTGTACGTTAATGTGGTATAATCATGACCAAACTTTACCGAACACCATTACATAACATGGTAGTTTCCAGAGTCTCCTATATTTTTCCACTGACAGACATTTAAAGTAGCATTGAAAATTGCAGTTTAAGTGGGAACTGTGACTGCCCAGTGATCTTTCATCATGGAAGGGAGTGGAAGAGGTGTGGCATAAAGGGTGCAGGAGGAGGCAGGACTAGAGCTCAACTTGGGAGGGAATAGAGCTGCTGGCAGTGGCCCTGGTATTTAACCACCACACCCATCTCACTCCTCATAGCTGGGACTCTGCTGTGCATCCTTGCCACACTGCTCACGTAGGTAAGTCTAAAACCAGATCTCTAGGATTAATATAAAACCACAGAGCTCATCTAGAAGAATCATACTGGAAAAAAGTGCATTGCCAAACTGGTGGATATCTTTTGTGTGCACTGATATATTCTTCTGAACCTACAGTGACAGTGCAGTTATTTGTAGTGGTAACATTTCCTACAATAGAGATGTATGATAGCCTGTAGATAATTCCTTTTAGTAGGCTGCTCATGTTTAGTGTTTGTGTTAGCTGGCAGTAATAGAGCCTGCAAAGGTTGTTCCTCACATGCTTTAGAGAATTTTCCCCAGCATGGGTGTGTCTCCTTTCTGTTAATGATAGCCTTTGTTTGCACAAGGTCTGAGTGGATGTCTTATTGCTAGGAGACCGCATTTCTGGAGTTCCTTCAATAAAGGAACTTCACTTATAGTTTTTGTAAGGCTTTGGTTATGATGTTTGGTTTCTATGTTGCTAAGGCTGTTGGGGTGGATGACTGAGATTTTAGTTTAGGGAACAATAACCAGGAAGTCTCAACCCTGGCAGTACCCCACAGAGGTTTACTCTGGCGCACACATCTCCAGATAAATCACAGCTGGAACTCATTCCTCAAAGTTAAAAGGGAGACAAAGAACATCTAAGCTTTTTCTGTTGATTTTGCATGATGGAGATGATGTCAAATGAATCAAAGCGCGCATGAGTGAGTCAGCATCACCCTCTTTATGTAGGACTTCAAGTTTGTGGGAAAAGAAGAATAGAATACAGGACATTCGTCTCTGTGAGCTAACATAACCTTTGCTTTCTTCAACCCGATTACATAACACTCACTCTGACTCAGGCAGCATGAGATTCTTAAAGGCCCCTGTTCACATTTCCAAGCGAGCTGTTTTAGAGAAGTGGATTGCAAAACTTCAACTACAGATTTTTAATTACAGAGTATAAGTCTTAACACTTGCATTTTCTTGAAAACTGTCCCTGACAGGACGCCAAAGATGGCACTGGTAGCTGAATTCCTAGGTCAAATCACATTCAATTTGGGGGTAAGTTTTCTCAGAATCAAATAGATTCATTAAGTTGATACCTTTGAGCTTGTGTGTGCTTACTTTATTTATTTTGTCACCTTTTTATCATATAACTTAGGCCAGTGAGCCCACCTACCCCACTGTGGTTCCTGCTCCTGATTTCGATCCTGACAAAGATGCTGCCAGAATAGAGACCGCTATCAAAACAAAAGGTATAAAATGATCAATTTCCCTCTGGTTGCCTCTAATAAAAGAACTGCAAACCACTTGCACTTTAAGCATACGTGCAATTTAGAGCAGCCCCAACTACAACATCCACTTAAAACCAAACTTGTGTACTTGAAAATCTGACCAAAAGTTGACCAGAATCAACACTGCTGGTGAGTCATCATCGTGTCTGGAAGCTCTTAGGCCGTGTATGGAAAGTTTTGTGGGCGAGGCCTTTGTGGATGCAGCCTGCACTCCACCGCCTACATGCTCTTTAGTGCTCTCACTCTACCAGCCAAAAATGGCCTTTTAGAATATGATCTAATATCGCCTTCATTAAATATCTATTCATTTTACAATTGTATGACCTGATTGTTGTACCAGGATATGTCAGTTTTGATTAAGAATGAGGTGTGTAGAAAAAAGACACAATGAAATATTTAGTAAAATATACAACACAATATTATATATATATCTTAGGTGTAGATGAACAGACCATTATTCAGATTCTGACCAAACGGACGTATGGCCAAAGACGAGAAATTGCCTTTGCATACGAGAGGCGAACCAAGAAGGTTAGAATTCACTTTATTGTTTTTTTCCAAATACTAAATGTTCATTTATTGAAAACTGATAAAATTCCCTGACAATTCAGTGATGCAGTTAAAGCACTAAATCTTTTTCTTTCTACAGGATATGATTTCTGCCCTGAAGGGGGCACTGTCTGGCTCACTAGAGACAGTCATTCTGGGACTAATGAAGAGCACTGCTCAGTATGATGCCTCTGAGATCAAAGCTTCTATAAAGGTAAGACATAGTCCACAAAGTCACATTTCATCAGTATGAGTAGATTGAAGTACATACATCAGCTTTCCTATATTGTGTCTGTGCAGGGTTTGGGGACAGATGAGGAGAGCCTGATAGAGATCCTCTGCTCTCGAAGCAACGCAGAGCTGCTGGAGATTAAGAAAGTCTACAAAGAACGTAAGTTGGAGAAGTCCTGAATTCTAAATTTTAATCTTAATTAACTCTTAACTTAAACTTGGACCTCAATGGGTCAAAGATGTACAAGAGCAGCTGTAAGTAAATGCTTGTTTCTGCAGTGTTCAAGAAGGACCTAGAAAAGGATGTGGCTGGAGACACATCAGGAGACTTCGCTAAGCTGCTCCTGGCCCTCGTGGAGGTGATGAAGGACTTTTAACCTGCACTAGTTATGCTAAATAGTCCTACTGAAAAATTAAAATGATTTAATGTGTAATTTCTCATATTAAAAACAAACTTTTGGTGTTCAGCTGTGATGTGTGTGTTTTTTAATGATGATTTCCTGATTCAACAATGACTTCTCAACAGGCCAAGAGGGCTGAGCCAAGCAGTGTTGTTGACTACGAGAAAATTGATGAAGATGCCAGAGTAAGTCCTAAAATGCCTCTGTTTTTGCTCTACCTCAACAACAACAGGATTTCATTAGGATGTTTCTAAGTCAGGACCTTTGGATTAACCAAACTATCACAATTTGAAAAGTTGAGAAATAAATGTGAATTGTCAGATTATGGCTGAGTTCTCTTCTCCTCCTGTGTGATATAAGAAAGATGCATGAGATCTACTAATCTGACCTCGCCTCTTAGGCACTGTATGAAGCTGGGGTGAAGCGGAAAGGCACTGATGTCAAAACCTGGATCGCCATCATGTCAGAGAGAAGTGTCCCTCATCTGCAGAAAGGTTTCTCAGCCTCTTACATTGCTCCCTGTTCTTTGGTAGTAACAACACATGCTACATTAATCATATCATGCCTTTCTGTGTATTAACAATGTCTATTTTTCTAGTATTTGAGAGATACAAGAGCTACAGCCCATATGACATGCAGGAGAGCATCAGGAAGGAGGTGAAAGGAGACCTGGAGAAGTCTTTCCTTACCTTGGGTTAGACTCTTTTAATGTTTACTTTATAAATATGCAAACAGAGTGCAAAAATGCATGCACTAATGTAAGGGTGCCAATTCAGCTGCTCTGGTTTTGCAATTGATTATGATAATATTTAATAAAATACACACTCATTCTCTAAAATAAGAAAGAAAGAAGGCAATAAAGGGGAAAACTAGTCTGTATTCTAGGTTCTCCATTCACAGTTACATTCAGTATAAATATAATTCTAAATTGTACTAAAATGATAAAATTGAATCATTCAGATTTCCTGATACATTGAATCACTTTCTAAGGAATCTTATTTGAATCCAATTATTGTGGTATCAGAGATTTACACCACTGACCGCTGTTCAATACAGTTTGACAAAAATACTCGAAAAAAAAACCTAAAATGTGAATCTTTATTCTTTGGGGAAAATAGTTTGTAGATTCATAAAAATTGTAATTTTTTAAATTTGTAATGATTAGATCATATTTTATGACATTTTGAGCTCAAAGTCATACAAAAAGATAAAGCCTTTCTATCTTAATCTCTTTCGTTGCAGTCCAGTGCTTTGAAAACAAACAGCTATATTTTGCCAACAGACTCAGTGATGCCATGAAGGTAATTTCATTTCTTTCTATTCTTACTTTTCTTTGAAAAACTTGCACTCATTTTCTGATGAGTTTGGAAGAAAATGTTTAGAAGTTCACCTCTCTATTA